ACACACACACACACACACACACACACACACACACACACACACACACAATTAGATACTCACCACCCTAGACAATTAATACAATTAAATAGATAGTGAGAAAGTCAATTTTTTGACTCAGTGATTTTGAAGAATTTTGAAAATGATTCAGAGGAGCCATTTAACTTTGAGGCATCTAAAGATTATTTATAATTACCTACCTAGACTGAGTCTCATAAGAATAAAAATCTAGCATTATAACACTAGGGATGTAGTCTCCTAACAACATATGGGGCTAGTCCTTGAAATCAATGAGGGAACTTGACCTGCACATTGGGAGAAGGGAGTAGGATCTCATTGCGATTCCATGTGAAATGTGAAGAGATCGGTTTGCCTCTCCATCTTACCCTGTGCATGTCCACATGCTTCAGTTTATTAATAGGTTCACATGTATGCATTTCTTTCTGATAACTGACAGAGAAATTACAGTTAACAGAATATATTAGTGGGAAGTGCACTTGAGTTAGCTTTGTTTTTCTAAGGAGGCAGAAGAACAATTACTCAGACCTTTGCTTGATTTAATTGTTGTGTTTTACTGATTGCCTACTTTGTTGGTAAATACTGCCTATCCTTTCCTATTGCAGTTTCCTAGTGTTTAGCTTACCTGAAGAAGGCTCAGGTTAGAATTCTCATAAACTTCAGTTGCTTGGTCAAGAGCCTAAGTAACACTGTGAATAATTAAAAAAAAAATAACCGCAGGTCTTAATCACTATTACACAAATCAAAGAAAATATTTTAGAAAATTCTAGTATAAAATATGAATAATATTTATACATTCAATACCTTTTGATAGCTGAAAGGACTTTTCATAGCCTTCCATACTCAAAAGGCATTTCTGAGAAGCTATAATAAGTTTATTGCTTTCAGTTATGAAAGTCACAAACCTTAAGTTTCCTTTTCCAATTTTACAGCGCAGCAGCAGTTTTGGGAATTTTGATCGTTTTCGGAATAATTCCATGTCAAAATCTGATGACTCAATCAAGGTTAGTATTTTATTTTATCTTTATGAATATTATGATAGCATATTATAAAAGTTTATAATGTAAAAGGATAATACTTGTCTGTGTTGGGTAAAGAAATTAATTACAGTTTTCAGGTCATGTACACTTACACAGAATTTTGAAATAGATGAGCAAATATTTAGCTCCTATTTTGGATAGACTAGCACCCATATTGGGTATTAAAGTAAAACAGCTATTTAAAAAGCTTACTCAATATTTGGGCAGAATAAGAAGTTCAAGTTGGTTATAATTTAAAGATATTTATAATTCAAAGTTACACTGACAGTTCCAAGTCCTCTGAGCATTTCCATGCTGAAGCCTGAGTTGATACATGCCTGAGTTGATAGCATGCTAGGTGGGCAAGTGGAAAATATGGTCATTCTGAGAAGATGAGCATGTAGCTACACCACTGAACTCTGTCACTTCTGGTGTATAGACTAAATATCTTACTGGGTACTATTACATGCATATTTGTAAACTAAACACGCTATGTATATGGCCTAACAGTAATATTAAAGTGTGTTTTAACATTAAATTTTGTATATAATAATAATAGCAGTACAAATGACAGCTATATTTAATGCAGTGGTTGTCATGAAGGAAGTACAGTGTTACCAATTTGCTTATCTAATTAGGAACTATTGATGTTTTGATTTATATTGAAGGAATATATATGTCCACTCATTATAATTCCTTTTCTACCACAGAGTTATCAAATGATGAAAGCAGAACTAATCCTCTTATCTGACTGTGATGTCTGACATTCTGTTATGCTATCTTATTTACTAGGGGCCATCTGCAATGAGTGACTAAGGAAAGGCACAGTAGCTAGTTAAATAATAGGAGGGATGCACACTGAGAAAACTAAGAATGGAACACATTCATTATTAAGCCTAACCGTAACCCTGACCCTGACCCAGTGAATTTACTAATAAACAGGCTATATAAATCTCACATACAGATGCATATCTATGTCTATATATCTATGTATCTATATATCTATATATTTGTACATCTATATGTCTATATGTCTATATATCTATATATCCATATGTCAATATATCTATATATTTATATATCTGTATATCATCTATATATCTATATATCATCTATATCTCTATATCTCTACATCTCTATATCTCTACATCTCTATATCTCTATATCTCTATATCTCTTTATCTATATATCTATATGGTTTTTATTTCAGCAAGGAATATTCTAAATATAGTACAAGCATAAAGGAGGAGGGGAGATGGGATGGGGATTCTAGGGAGGGGAAATGGGAAAAGGGGATGAGATCTGTATTGCAAATAAGTAAAATATCCAATAAAAGATAATTGTAGTACATTAAAATAACATTTCATATATTATTATTTCTTAATATATCCATTAACATATGCCTATATATAGGATATATTTTATTGATTTATGTAATATATATATAGATAAGCCGTTACACACACACACACATACACAGACACACAGACACAGACACAGACACACACACACATGACTTAGTTTTTTCTATGCTGTTGTGATAAAATACACTGTCAAGAGGAACTCTAGAAAGAATAATGGTGGGTGTTTTCACAGTACAGTTAAGGATTACAGTCCATCATGGTGGAGAAGTCAAAGCTGTAGGATCTTGAAGCAGCAGGTCATATCACATTCATGGTCAAGAAGCTGAGAGCAATGAGTGCATGCTACTGTTCTGCTTCTTTCTCCATTTATAAAGCCCACCCAGGGAATGGTGGCTAGACTGGGTAGCTCTTCCCATTTCAATTATATAATCAGGTCCATCCTCCACAAGCACTCACAGGGACTCAATTCCTAAGTGATTCTAGATCTTTCCAAATTGTCTATAGAACCTAGCCACTGAAACCGAATTTTACAACCTATATATTTAATGGATGACTATATATAATTATATATGTACTCACATAGACATATATGTATAACCGCTTTTTTATGTATGTGTGCATATACACGTGTGTAGACACAGAGAGGAACTTACTTATATGATTATTTTCACTTAGTGTTTCAAATCAACTTTTATCTCTCTATAACTATATCCTGCTGTATTGTGCTGCTATTTAGTTTTTTAACAAACCTATGGAAGTATCTCAGGTTCATTCACTGTCAATGGCTTTGTAATTTGTTAAAGCATTTAGCAGAGCTAATAAAGTAGTTTCTCATTTTTTCAGAAAGCCAGCATCAAATCTTCATCCTTTTCATGTTATCCACACAATGGCAGGGTTTCAGTTAGGGACTCCAGAGGACTGTTATAATGGAAGATGGAAATGCCTACTCCATAATGCCTGGAGATTGGAAGCAATAGCACTTTAAAAGATCATGACAACAGAGCTGAGCTGTACATTCTAGAGAGAAAATGTAGTTCGGGCTATGGAGAACTTCACAGAAAAGAAAACTAATTCAAAATACACAAGACGGTTTCTTTGAAGCTTCTATAAACAATGATAGAAAAACCAAGCAGTATTTATATTGCATTGCTTTGAAACTTCAATAATAGTATCAATATCAGTTGTAACTAAATGGCATTTATGTCAGTTACTAAAATAAGTTTACAGTTAATACAAAGTTTAAACATAGGAAAGAGGGAAGAAAAGGCCAAATAAATTTTTAAAGTGCATCCCAATTCTATTTTATTCTGATATTTTGAACTAAGCAAAGACTCTTTGCCTTTGTAACCTTGAATGTAAAAATTAATAATGTGCAATGAGGGCTTAAATTGGCTGTCCATTGATATTTATCATATGCAATTTGGGGTAAGATATGAGGCAAAATATAATATTGATTAATAATGATGTTAACTATGTGCTTAAACTCTCATATTAAAATATTCATGCTCACTAAACAGAAGTTTCCCATCATTTTTTATGTTCGTATATGAATGGCTGTTCACCTGTCAAGCATGGGGGGCAGTACTCACGCAGACGACCTTCACAGGTCGTTGCTTCCACATCTGAGGTATCAAGAATATCTAATCCAAATATGTCCTCCAGCAGAGGTGGAAAAGCTGCCTCAAATTTCTACATCAGGAATTTCATTTCTTTAAAGGTTACTGAGAACCAGTTAATGTGCCTAGAAATATTCCTGAGACTAGAATGAAATACAGAGAAAGCCTTTACTCCTGTCAAGCATGTAGCACATGAGAAATGCAGATAAGCATTACATGAGCAAAACGTTGTCAAATAAAATATGAGCAGAGATGAATACTCAGGTGAAACAAACCTGTGTGGACAAAGATGGCGAGGGACCAATCAGATGACTTCTTTCCTGTACTATGCATTAAATGGAAACTTGGAGAGCTTAAAAAATGTATCTGTGGCTATCTAGAGAAGCCAATGCAAAAACAAGTCCAAACCATGGTGATAAGTGGATAAAGTCAGAGATGCATTATCATGACAGTATTTGATTACCATTTCTTTCAAGTCTTATCATACATCTGTGAGTCAGAATCACCACAAACTGTCCTCAAATACTGTTTTTTTTAAAAAATGCTGTTTTGAAATCTGATATAAGTGGCGAAGAATAAATTCATAAAGATATGTTATATCATATAGATTCTATATGATGTAAACATATATTTTAGAAACACAATATTGATTTAAATTAATGTTAATTATGTGATTAACTTTTATATTAAAGTATTTAAGATCTCTACCAAGAAGTTTCCCATAATAAGCAGTAGTATATTGTTTATGTTATGCCGTTGAGCTTTGCAAGGAAACACCAATACTTATATTTTATTCTGAATCAGAGGAGGAATCAGTTTTAGGAAGATTGCTAAGGAGTACCAGGTAACAGTAATCCAAATTTAAAAAAAAGATTTGATTAGTACCATGCCAGGTAATATTTACTATTTACTATTACTTAAAGTGAAAATGTGTATGCACACACATTGCATGAAAACATTGTAGAATTCAACTGATTTCATTAACTTCACAAATTCTTTAAAATTAACTTTGACCATGCCAATCTAATTGAGACCCAGGAGGCTACTGTAACACTCTTCCTTCATACGTGGGTGTTAAAGGCCTTTCTAATTCCACCATTAAGTGATCTTCAGTCTATAGATTTGTAATCACAGGATGCCTGATGGTTACTTCTGTTTTGTTTATCTCAAAGTTGAGAACTAAAATGATTGTTTAATACAGCTATTAAAATAAATGCTCAAAGAATTTCAAATATGAAGATGAGAACTTTCAGCAAAGTTACACAGGCAGACAGTTGGACAATATGCATTAAACCCAGAGGGTATACTGCACAAGAACAAAAAATTCCACCTTGGATCCTCCCTAAAGAGGTTGTCGATCAATGCTCTTCGGTTTGGACACAGAGCTGACATGTAGCTAGCACCCTTATCTAACCGGTGAAATCCCTAGCACTGAAAAACCCTTGACTCAAATACATGATCCTTTCTGCTTTACTATTCAGTCTTTTGTAAACAACTCTCTATCAGGTCCATGACGGGGAACTGACAAATGGAAGTGAAGAACAAAGCAAGACTTTAAGCAATGGAGGAAGTCTAGGTAAAAAAGTGAGGGCTATTTCATGGACAATGAAGAAAAAAGTAGGAAAAAAATACATCAAAGCTCTTTCTGAAGAAAAAGTAAGTATATTTTGTTATATATATATGAAACTCAATAGGCTCTTTCTTTAGACTTAGATTATTTGGTGTTTTATGAAGCACTTACACATATTTTTTCCTTCACCTATCATGACCAGAAGTTTTGCAGTTCTTTTAGAATGTGTCTGTTTGTGCATATGAGTACCATGAAGTGGTACAGATGTCAGAGAACAACTTCTCTTTGTATATCTATACAAGTTCCTTGGATCAAATTCAAGTCCTTGGGCTTGCACAAGTGCCTGTACCACTGAGCCATTGGGATGGCCCAGTTCTATGGTTCTGAAAGGATCTTTACTCACATTTTAAAAGAAGACAGAGCACACATCTAGCAGTGAAGAGGAGTATACTGCGTAAGTTGTAGCAAGCACCTGTACTTCATTTCTTCTTATTTCAAATTATCATCATGTTTTATAAATAATCTACATTTTTTCACATCTACTAATAAGTATTTGGGCTGTTTCTGCTTTGGATACATTATGAGTAATGCTGCTTTAAATATTTGCAACATTCTTTAAGGGCTGTACACAGTCGAGAGCTGTACACAGTCTTTTCTATTGTAAAAGAGTAAATCAAGTCCAATAAAGTCCTTTGGAATTTGTGGAGATCACTTCAGACAGCGAAACGAGGGGTTTCTTCAGATTAGTGATGTAAATCTCTAGCTATTTGATATCCTTGTCAATGGCCCATCGAAGGTCTGAGCAGTATAAATCCAGAGGACAGCATCAGGATTAGAACTTCTAACAGCAGACATCACGGGTGATTTATTTTTACCTGAGATACTGCCTGGGTTAGCACTCCTGGGATCCCCGCTTCTGCTGGGATTTGTGAGTTTGAGTGCAGAGCTGCCACCTGGGATCTGCTCTGTGCTCAGGCCCAGAGGAAGTCTTACCCATATTTTCATTTTTATAGTATTGTTTGTATCCTACATGTTTATAATCTAATAATAGTACAATGTTCTTGTTTTTCTTATTATTTGGGTTTTGAAATCATACTTGAACTATTGCTTAACACAGTATAATGAAGATTATTTCTGTATTTTCTCCTAATGGTTTTGTAATTTTCACTCTTAAATTATAGTGAATGATCTGTTTTGGGTTAGACATTCTAAGTTGTGGTTCATATGAGTAAAAATTCATTCTTTTTCTTGTAAACAGTAAACTCAACTTCGTTTGTTGAAGATTCTTCTTTCTCCATTATATTGCTAAAGTCACCTGACAATCATATACAATGTTGTTATAAATATAGAGTTCATACAAATAAAGGTTTATATATAGACTTTCAGTCTATAATTTTAATTTGTATGTCTTTTGTTCATTCTTTCTTTCAATACTCTTCTAGTTTAATTCTGACCCCAGTATTCAATCACAGTAATATTAATCTTTGGGTTGCCAAACACAATGCCACTTTACTTTGGCTATAGATACAAGTGGTGACATGCTTACATAGAAATATTCTTTTGGTTGCTTTGAGCATTTTTTTCTTTTTCACATAGTTCTTTTTGGCTTTTCCTTTGTTGTAATCTCTCTGAGAATGCTGCTGCTTCTTTTCTTTTCTTTTTTTCCTTTTGACATAGAATTTCTCTGTATAGCTATAGCTTTCTTGGAACTCACTATGTAGACCAGGCTGGCCTAGAACCCAAAAATCCACCTTCCTGTCTCCCAGTTTCTAGGATTAAAGGCATGTTCCACCACCACTACACAGCTCCAAAGCTTCTTAAAATCCTGAAGGCTCCACTAAATATATCCTGTCCTCTCCTGTGATTTTAGATATGCTCATTGTTTTCCAAAGTGTCTCCAGAAAGAACTTCATTTGATTGCTATATTCAATCAACCAACTGCTCATTTGATGCTCTCAAAGAGATGTCAAAGAGATATTACAACCTTTGCACTTATTAAAGTATGAAATTCTCAGCACTTCTACTGGAAAACAATTATTTCTCACCCATTATTTCCAGTGCCAAAGAACAATGTTTTCATGATTCTAGATCCCTAAAAATGTAATAGAAAAGTATCACTCTAAATTCTTTTTCCTACTCTGAACAATTAAACAATCACAATATCCTCCTGTTCCTAATATCCAAATAATATTTAAAATTCTAACTTTTTCTATTCAAACTGTCCCTGATTTAGACTAAAGCACTAGTCTCCTCTTCCTGCATTACCACATCAGCCAACTATGTTGTTTTTCTTATCTTTCTAATAAGATCCAGACAAGAAAGCCTGAAGTGATGTCTGAAAAGCAGGATCAGGACATATTAGGACCCAGATTAAAACTTCAGAATATCTTGTAAAAAAAAAAATCCCTTTACTATAGAGCAGTGAAGCTAGTGAAGCTTTTTGGGGGAGTAGAGTTCCAATAATAAGAACAACACCAAGGCTTTACAAGGGGGAAATGCCTGTGAGCTCTAAAGAAGGACAAGTGCAAAAGACAAGCCTTACCATGACAAAGTAAGCCTCACAGCTATAAATGGAGGGGGAAGAGAGAAGATTCAGTTTCTTTCAGTCCACTTCTGAGAACATTTTGGCAGATGTGTGGGGAATTCTTGAACCAAAGCTTCCACTAGAATCACCTTCCTTTTCACCAGAATAGGCATAAATGTTATTTTCATGTATACAGCCCTCAAAGCAGTCAGTGCAGGATCTGGCTTCAGCGCAAACTCACAGGTAGAGTGAAAGGGGGTGACTGATTGGAGCTGCTGAGGCATACTAGTCATATTTCTATTGCTAATGACATAGCACAATACAGGGACTGACTATTCACAAAAAGCCTTATTTTGGTCACGGTTGTGGTCCAACAGAAAGGATCACATCTCATGATAATCGTTTTGACTGTAGAGTTTCAAGACAGCAGATGTCATGCAGTAAGAAATACAGAAGGTGTGTAGATGCTTAAATGCCTATCCCTTTGCTAATAAATCCATCAATCCCAGTCATGGAGGCTCTGTTCTGATGACCTCACTTAATCACGATCACCTCCCAAAGACCCTGTCTCTAAACACTGAAGTCAGATTAAGTTTCCCTTTTATAATACTACACAGTGGAAATTGAATGCACATGTGAGTTTCTGGATGTAACAAACAAAACGGAATCCTAACACCCAGTCTCCAACACCCAAGGCTCATGTGCTTCTCACAACATACATCGTAGTCAGTAAGATGCAGTCCCATTGCAAGAGATGGAGGTATCACCTTCCCATGGCCAGCACAGTGCTCTAGGAAGCTCATCAGGATCTGGATACTATTATTTTCTGTTTCTTTCCATGGCTAGCACAGTGCTCTAGGATGATGCTCTTCATTCCCTGCTTTGAGAGTTAATATGTAATGCCCTCCTTTCTTTCACTACACAGGCCTGTGTATAGAGGCTATAAGTTCATGTTTGTCCTTTTCTTTTGCTTAGAAAAGTATCTTTAGAAGAAAATATAAGTTCTAATTTTTCATAGTTGAGGTCAATATACTATAAAAGAGTATCTTATACATTTTCAGGTGGATTCTGGGCATTTGTTATCTTAGAATTGAAGTTTTTGGTATTCATTTCTCCTAAATCAACTAAGCTTCTTCATCCTTGCTTGATTCACTAGTTCTCTCCTTCTACAGTCTATCTCCATATATATGTATCATACTAATACTTTTATGCACTGTTATTAATATTATTATTACTATTATAATTTCCAACTACTTTAAAAACATATTAACTATAGCTTGTACTGTATGCATGGCCCATTCAGACTAGAAAAAAATTTAATAGAGCCAAAGTACTTTTACTTTGTTACCTTGTTTATTAAAGTATACACAAATTTTAGAAAAGTCCCAAGTACCTAGACTATGCTTTATAAACTTTCCCTGAATGACTAAATGAAGAATAGATAAAAGCAGAAAACCAAACTAAGTCTTTGTATATTATAAGTTTTATCAATGCTCAGTAATGCTCAAAAATAAGACTATTGAATTACATTGTGATGAGTATTAAGAAATTCATAGGGCTTTGTCCAAACTTTCTAAAAATGGAAAACATTTGAGATGTTTTCAAGGAAATGTAATTTGTTTTGAAATTGTCTGTCTTTTCTAATTTTATGCAAGATTTGCTTTTCACTTGACTAGGTGGCAAGCACAGTATGAGATTTGTAAAGCTCCTTAGATAAGGCTGACTTTAGAATTGCAAAGTGAGCATGTTTTATTCATATCTAGTGATCTGGTAGCGTGCAAATAACTGACATGAAACAAATGTGCAGAGTTTAAAGCTATGGTATCAGATCTCAAAGGATTAGTAATGGTGGCAAACAGATAAGGAGGACATGAGAAGTAACTGCACTTTAGCAGAAAAAGCATTCATGCCAATACATCTAACATTTCTGATTAAGTATTCTTGATATGATATTCATCTTTATTTGCAAAAAATAGACCATTATAATTGCAGTTGAATTCCACAATAAGCAATGTCTCATCTAGGGAATTTTCCCAAGTATCCTATAAACTGTTTTCCTAGAAAATCAACTGAAGATTAATGACTCTCATATTTTATGCTGATGTATTCATGAGTGTTTTATTGTTTAAATGTGTCTTGCTTGTTGAGTCAGTGCACACAGTGAACTTCTCCATGGAAATCTGATCTGCACACTTAACCTCTGATACATTTTCTCCTGAAGGAGGAGGAAAGTGGAGAGGAAGCCCTCCAATATCGGAACAGTGATCCCGTGATTGGAACACATACAGAGAAGATCTCCCTCAAAGCCAGCGACTCTATGGACAGTCTTTACAGTGGGCAGAGCTCATCAAGTAAGGCTGATGAGTAAGAGGTGTCACCATAGACATGGAGCCTGGGATAAGCTAATCGAAAGCAGTGAATGATCTCTCTGAGGTTGTTTATCAAGTTAGAAACAGAGATCCAGTTACTTGATAATAAAGAAGTTAGAAAGGTTGGATACATTGAATATACATGGAGTTACTATTGACTGTGATACATAGCACAACATATTTTTGATGCTATAGCCTACAGGGCTCTTGTGAAAATGCCTCAGAATGTTGTGTTAGGTAATAAAACCTGATTTAAAAAATTGTATGCTCTGGAAACCTAGAGTTCTCTTGCTTCAAAAGACATAAAATTATTTGAAATAAAGAAGTAGGAATCTGTTCTTTATATTTCTCCTGCAGTTCTTTGATTTTTTGGCCCTTCTTTTCTCTCTCTTTAATTCTTCCCACCCCTCCTCTTCCTTCTCCTCATTTCCTTCCTTCCTTCCTTCCTTCCTTCCTTCCTTCCTTCCTTCCTTCTTTCTTTCTTTCTTCTTCTTTCTTTCTTTCTCCCTCTTCTTCCTTCTTTCTTAATTCCCTGCTTTTCTGCAAAGTGTAGGACACTTGCCTCAATTCTGTCATTTCCATTGACTGTTAGTAAGTAGAGACTGAAGCAGTGAATAATACTGTGTGATAGATATGTCACCAGTGGGGTGGAAAAGGAGATTAGCAGGAACTATAAGGAGTACGGAATCAACGCTGATATTGGTCTAAGAAGGACATTACTCAACATCAGTTACATTCTCTGCTACAATAGTTACAAGAAAGTACTGACAGTCCTGTTGCCTTATATATTTTATATAAGTAAACAGTTATCTCTGCCAGTCCAGTCTCTTCAGGACTTTTAAATGTCACTGCAAAGATTATTTTCCACTTGTTTTAAAATGAGCTACTTCTGTTATTCAAAGATGGCTGATAAAGAGAAGATGTTTTGAATATTCTCAATTTTCTTCCTATCACATATAGAACAGTTATTTTGTGGTGAAAAGGTAATGTAGAGACATTTGAAGGAAGTAATGTGTGTGTGTGTGTGTGTGTGTGTGTGTGTGTGTGTGCGTTATTCAGATTTCATAAGTATCTAGTTCTGATAGAAGTTTTCAAATTCAAGGTTGTGATACTGAATGTGAGAAGAATTTGATTAATCAGCCATACCATGCAAAACCAGCACCCACACATTAATCCAGAACAGAGGCATGGGGGGATAGTGTTTCATTTACATATGACATTTCTCTTCACACCCAATGTGGAACTTACAGGACTTTTGCCTTATTTCAAAACTCATGGTAGTGAAACTGCAGCTCTTGCCTCCCAGAGCAGCAGAAGGTCAACCTGAAGGAGGAAGTGAGGAGACTGTGAGTGTGGGAGAAACAGCTAGGCACTTTCACTGCTAACAGATGTGACACTACAGAAAGGAAGCAAGATGGAGCAAGATGGAATGTTCTCTCTGTTTGCTTTGCTCGTTTTTTGTTTTTCTCAACTGAACTTGAAGATCAGAAGGGAAGGGGACCAGAAAATAAGCACTCTGGCAATTTAGGATAGTTTGGAGATTCACACATTTGGGCAACTATCCTCTCCACTCCTGTGGCAAACAAAAGTGTCACCTTTTATAGGCAAAGATGTTTCTTTTTCCATGGACTTTGGTATACAGTAAGAATCTTGGGAAAATCTTTTACTACAATTACATAAGTTGTATGAAGCCTAGAAATGCCATATGTTGACTATTTATGATCAATAACAACACAAAATGATTAAACTGTTTCTATTGAATTTTTTCTTGGTTTTCAACTCAGTTTGTCTAGGTCAAAGTTTGAACCTATACTTTGCTCCAACTTAACAAGTGGGCATTGTTGAAAGCCCTCTAAGATAGATCAGATTTCAATGAGGAGATCATCCAAAATGAAATGGTATTGGAATAAGGATTGTTGAGAGTATTCAGACTGGCAAAGAAACCATCAAAACAAGTTCAGAAGAGAGGGTCCCCAAGGGAATGTGACTAAAGGCTACACAAGGCATCCATTGCTCCTGTTTGAGGTAATGGTATAGGAAGCTAAAATCCTTGGATAAGAACCTTTAACCTTTCCTTTACCAGGTGGATTAACCAGCTGTTCAGATGGAACAAGTAATCGGGACAGCTTTCGACTGGATGATGACAGCCCCTACTCAGGGCCATTCTGTGGCCGTGCCAAAGTGCACACAGACTTCACACCAAGTCCCTATGACACTGACTCCCTTAAAATCAAGGTGGGCCAACATTACCTGTTTCCTGGTTTGTAGAACACTAGTTGCATGATATACTTTAGGGACTAAAGGAAGTTTGCAGTAAGGTCCCATGATGTTGGTAGAATGCAGTTTCTCATATCACCCTAAGAAACTATATCGATGTAGCACTGAGGTGATTCTTTGGAGCTCTCAGAGAACATGATAAAGATCCCACACTTACCACTGTGGGGAAACTGACTGATTTTTTGTCTGAGTCAGCTGTCAGCTTTGATAAAATGTGCAAGTTTAAAAGAGATGAGATATAAGGCCTTGAAGTTAAATATGATAGGGAAGACCCAGTAAAGATTCACCACTCCTAGAAACTCATTAGTGTTTCTGGGGAGTTTGCTGATCTCCTTGGTGGATTGTACCTAGCTTGCCATTTCATTCTCTCAAGTAAAAAGTGGAAACACCAAGACTCACACCCAGACAGACATGCATACTATCCAAAATGAGAGAGACCATCCTTCAATCATACTCTATTTTAAATGACTATAACAAATAAAATTGTGTTTCACGTCAATCATACACTCACAGACCAGCAGGAGAATATATATTTAAGCATAGCTTTAGGGATAGAGCTTTAAAAACAGCAAATATTGGGATTGATCACTTCTTTTGGGGATGTAAAGTTCTATCTCAAATGGGCAATTATGACTCTTACAAATAGGCACTTATTTGCCCAGAAATCAAATTTCTTCACAAAGAAATATTCCCAGGAAAAATTTTTACTGTTGCCAATAACTGCAGCCTATGGCCAAATATAGTTTTAGATGTAAAATATACAAAACGCTAGTTCATGTTTCTATGAAAACTTTAAAAGTTATGGTTGTTGGTTTTTTGAGTTTTTCTTTTTCTTTTTTTTTTGTCTACATAATGTCTTCTATTGATGTTATCAGACATTTTGGGAAATCCCATTGAGGTCATCGTGTTACCTGGGAATTCAGGGTCCCTATATGGAGTCCTTAGTCTCCTTAATAAAATAATTTAAGAATTGCTTAAGAATCGAGTCAAAATTAAGGAAAATTTGATTATAATTCATAAAGAAAAAAACCCAGGACAGTAAGCTATAGGTCTCAGCAGCTACAGGGAAGAGAAAGAAGAGGATCAGAGAAAGAGACGCACTCTTTGAGTTAGTTCGGTGTGGAGGTAACCCATAAGGCAGACAAGCAGCCACATGGTAGAGATAAACATAAGGGAAAGGATGAAGTATTAAAGAAAACACACTTAGAGAAGAGATAGGAAGATGAAAAGGTAGAGCTATGCTTTCTTATGTAATTCAGTCCAACCTGGGCAGTTGTCTGCAGCCCTTTACTCGGGTGGACAACTCAGGGAAGTCAGCTCATTAAAGAGATCATTATTCCTTTTTTTCCTTGAGCATGCTTAATATCAACCCACCTCCCAAGGGCAGTCCTTTGATGAATGATTGGCCAGACCAAATAGATTAACCCTTTTATATTTTGAGTATATTGGAATGTTCGGACTCTACCCTGGCCAGAGAATAAGCTTTCCCTATGGGTCTCCACAGATCACAGTTCAGTGCTACTGTGACATGTATAGGAAGAGTGCCATCAGTACCTCAAGAACCAAGCAGTATACCTGGCTGCATGAATACTGTTACATACTTAGTAAATCTTATTCTTCCATTACTTTATGTGGAGAACACAGTTTACATGGACTTATTTTGTACTGTAAACAATTTGTGTCATGTGAGGTAAAATCATGGGCAGAGTCTACTGTTTCTTTCTTCCTTTCCTCCCCTTTAAGAGAGCACATTGAATGATGCTTTCATATTTTAGCCTATAATGATTGAGGAGGATAATATCACTGTTTCTATTCCTGTAATGCTTAAAGCAACAATCTGATACTTCATACTGTTTATTCAGCACATATGCAATAGTATAATATAACAGATATTTAATATATCATATATATTGTCCTACAAATGTAAGTTAGTGAGTTAATGTAAGGTCAAGAAAAGTATGGTCAAACATGCTGGTGTTTTCTTCACTGCATAGTGAAAACTGTCTTTGACAAAGTGAGCTCACATGGGTTTCTGCAATCTTTGTAGATTTTTTGCACACTACCCTCATTTTTCTACTTTTTAACAGTTCCCTTTTATTTACATATTACTACAGCATGATGGTGCTTCAGAATTTGATTTGTATTTGTCTTCATCCTTAGAAAGGAGATATCATAGACATTATCTGCAAAACACCGATGGGAATGTGGACGGGGATGCTGAACAATAAAGTGGGGAACTTCAAGTTTATTTATGTGGACGTTATCTCAGAAGAGGAAGCAGCTCCTAAGAAAACAAAGGTCCCCAGAAGCAGTAGGAGAGAGAACCCCCAGAATCTCCAGGAGTTCTTAGAGAGGATTCACCTTCAGGTTTGTAAACCTTTGATCTGTTTGCTTTTGTTGAAAGGGGAATAGGATAGTGGAGTAGGGAGGATCATAATTTATTCAGGATTGTTAAAAATAAAAGATACACAACAAGGGAAAACCTGTTTTCCTAGAACAGCTCTTATTTCTACTTTATTATTTTTATTAAGCAAGGACAGGACTTGATGTAACACCATTTGTACTAAACCCTAAAGGTACTTAGCAGCCAGTGACAATAGAGAGTAATGTAAAGAAATGGCAATGAAAAAAAAAACTACACACACACACACATAAGCACACACACAGAAAGAGAGAGAGAAAGAGAGAGAGAGAGAGAGAGAGAGAGAGAGAGAGAGAGAGAGAGAGACTCACACATATATATGAGAATACATCTATCTCTATTTCTATCATATATATATATATATATATATATATATATATATATATATATATATTATATATTGGGAGACTATGGACAAGTGTTTTAGTGAGAATGATTAAGAGAATAGGAAGAGTATAGTGAAATCTGAGGAACTGAAAAGAAAAATGGCAAAGAGCTTGAATTTGCACATAGAGAAATCAAAATGAAGTGCAAAGAAAATGATTGCAAATAAGCATCTCCAAAGTAATTCAAGAAACATTGATCACTGGTGTTGTAGTGATCATTCAGGGGAAGGTATGTTTTATAAGCACTTCTCTTGAACCCACTGCCCCACTGGCATTCCAATCATCTGTTTGATAGCCCTATTTTTCTTACATTAGTACATTTTAAAGGAGGTAACTCTTGTAAAATGGTATAAATGCACCATATAGTACAGTAGGCAACAGAGTCTTATTCCATTCACAGTCCTGCATTCCATTTGTAAAATTAACTCATCAGTGCTTTAATAATGTAAGTAACTCGGCAAGACAGTATAACAATTGATGTTTCCTAATTGTTGTGTCTGAGCTACTAAGTTACTCTCCTATCGCCAACATACTGCTTCAGTTTTTCTATTGTAAGACTGGTACAATGCGATCCTCCTGGGGGGAAAGGCAGTTTGAGTCCCACCTGGATGGCCCAGGGGAAAACACCTAAGGGTGTTGTGCTCAAGAAGTCACAGTGGGTTGTGTAAGAATGGACACTTGGCTATTCTGCATTCTTCTAAAATGCATGGTGTTTTTTTTTTTAAAGAATTATTATTCTTCCCTTTTTTTGGACAAAATGTGGTTTGTAATAAATCTTTTCCTGATTGTGAAGCCTAATTAGTTGCATGCATTTAGGGCTGAGGCTTCATTTTTCTCCCTCCCTCCCTCCCTCCCTCCCTCCTTCCTTCCCTCTTTCTCTTTGTTTCTTTCTTCCTTTTTTTCCCACTACAAAATAACTCTGCAGTACTTGGCACACCCTCAATTCTGGATTTGGAGGCTTGACTAGATTTAAGTAATCATATTCAATTTTGGGAACTGAAATAAAGATATTGAAAGTATGATCAAGTAAAATGGGAGGAATTTTGGGGGAAGCTTATAAAACAACTTCACTTCACTTTGCATACTCAATCTGTTAGAACAGGCGTTATAGAAATAACACAGATACTTTATTATCAGAAGTCTATGCATTTTAAACGAGTATATGTTGATGCAAATGATAGACAAAATACCCCTACCGAGGAAAGGAAATACGACTGTCTTCAACTCTGAGCCTTTCACGTGTAATTAAAATTTTAACTTAAAAATTAAACAGCAAGTCTGTGATTCATTAGATATATAATAGCATTTAATCAGCTAAAATAATGAACTCCCTTTGTATGCAGAATTCTGTCTGTTTTAAGTTTATTTTTACTGTTTACATTTATTTATTTATTCATTTAGTGTGTGTGTGTGTGTGTGTGTCAGAGAAAAGTTGCAAGCGTGAATCTCTTTGTTTATCCATTTGTGTTCAATTAGGTCATCAGCCTCGGAAGCAAAGCAGTTTCCCTACTGACCCAGCTTGCAGGAGCTCAAGTCCATTTTTAAGCTACACTAAGAAAATAATGAGAGTAGATGTTTCCATGACCAAGAAATCAAAAAGAGAGATTGGTTCAGAAATATTTCTGTAACTTAATCTATTAGAAATATTCTATTGACAAACTTTTAAAATGTCTGTGTCAATTTAACTATGTATGAAGTAAAAGTGCCAGATGGGATAGACGATTCAGCTGGTAAATGACCCACGATTTACCACTATTACAGATTCTAGTGATTGTTTCTGCTCTACATTTGCCCTTCTGAAGGTTAAGAACTTAGCGTTTTTCTCTCAAATGCCCCTGAGTTTGTTTGTGAGAAATCCGAGTAAATAAAATGGCGTTAGGCAAAAGTTTCATTCATGTTTTGGTTATCCCAGGCATTTCGTTCAATTTAGAGACAATAAATATTTGAGCCATACTAGTTTACTGATTATACCTGTTTCCCTCCTCCTACAGGAATATACTTCAACACTTCTGCTCAATGGTTATGAGACCCTGGATGATTTGAAGGATATCAAAGAAAGTCATCTCATTGAATTAAACATTGCCAATCCAGAAGACAGGGAGAGGCTATTGTCTGCTGCCGAGAGTCTCCTGGATGAAGAAAGTAAGTGTACACACTCATCCCCCGCCCTCCAGGTCATCACGCCTTAATGTAAACGCAATCAGTAAAAGCAAAGCCTCAGTGTCAGTTACTACGTATCATATATAGCATTCTTTCCTACAGCATGAGGCCGTTTTTACATGATACTGGATACAACTCTGGCCAAAGCTTATAATTGGAGGAAAGACTTCCAGTATATTTTTTGAAAAGGAAAAGATTTCTCTGAGTCTCTTGTTTTGATTCTGCCAAGCTATTAATTTACATGCAATTGGATGCCTGCATTCTCAAAGACCAAGAGGCTTAGAGACAAATATCCTAGTGACAGCATGAGCCATTAGTAAGTAATGCCACACATTTTCTTCTGTAGCACAACACAGAGCCTGGCTTTAGGCTAATGAACCTTTCCCACCACACAGGAAAATTCATTTCATTACCATATAGTCACATCCTGTGGGTGTTTGTGTGACTCTTTGTAAATGTTATAATAGCTTGCAAAAATATTCAGCGATCACTCTTATTACCAGAGATGGCTCTCTGTATTTGTAAATATAAACTGAAGATGAAATAATAAATGCAGATCCATTTATGGCTGAGTATAAGTTATAGCATCTGGGTTTTTTTTAAAACAAACAAACAAACAAACAAACAAACCAAAAAACAGAATAGCTTTCACTTTTACAATTGCCCATTCAGAATACCATTTCTATTAAATCTAGTCAAGCCTCCAAACCCAGAGTTTAGAGTGTGCCAATACTCGAGAGATTTTTGTAATGACAAAAAATGCTAAAAAACCAATTTTTGTAATGATGAACCTTCAGCCATATCTACATGCAAATAAGAAAAAAAGCTAATTAGACAGCACAGCTCCATATGCATAGCTGTTATTATTGTTGTGTATACTTGTGAACAATAATTATAGATGAGAGGTAGAGGTTTAGGGAGCGGTCGAGGAGGAAGGGTGGAAATGATATGAATACATTGTACTCATAGATGGAATTCTCAAAAAATTAAGACCAAAAAGACGAGAGAGAGAGAGAGAGAGAGAGAGAGAGAGAGAGAGAGAGAGAGAGAGAATATATGATGGAATCTAACGTCAAAGCTTAAAAATAATTTAAACTATCCAGTCAGCCTTCTCTTTCAAACATAGTACTAACAGTAGCTTTTCATTACTTTCTTCAAACATGTAAATATAGTAAAGCTTCATTTCAAGGTGTTTACATTTATTTTTGTCTTTAGTGCTGTTCCCAGCTCAGACAGACAGTGAACTTCCCTATTTAAGGTGAGAACGTGAGGCAGGAAGTGCCTTGTGTCTTGAACCAATTTCCTAGTGATTTCAGAGAATAAGGATTCCAACCTGCTTCTTGGGAAGCAGTGCTGGGCTTCTTAGCATTGCAAGAAACATCTCAGACACTGAGCAAAAAGGGAGTTGTGTATAGCACCCAGGCCTCTTGACTTCTTTGGTTAGTTATCCTGTATCTGATTTCATGTGTTCTCCTAAATTGAGGCATAGTGTGCCTATATTTGCTTCATGTGCAATAGGAGTTAGCATAAATCTCGAGACTCTTACTTTTTTAATACTTGCAGTCTTGGGTTTGCACAGATATTTATCCTTTTCCTACACATTTAGCATGAATGACTAACCTAACACAAGAAGAAATGATTGTAGTCTTGGGTTTTTTAACATTTTATTTCTGGGGACAAGAGATGTGCACAGGAGGAGGATGGAGGAAAAAGGCAGGAAAAGACTGACCTAGAAAGAGAGACAGCTTATTCAGTAGCATAAGCCCAGATAAAATCAGCCTATGCGAATTGATGCAGAGATACTTCTCAAGTACACACAGCTTCTTTTATCCTGTCTATACACTGTGAGCTCAGAAACTATCTCTGTAGGTTTCTCATGTTGATCTTGTGTAGTGAAATAGTTAAGAATCTCCAAAAGAATGTGAGTGTGAAGTACAAGGAGGAGAAGGCTCATCTCTGAATGTTTGAAAATACTTACTATTCTACAATTCAAAACATCTACCTTGTCATATTTCCAACTGATGAAACTATTCAGAAATTGAAGAAGGGAAACAACTAGACAAGGAGGAGAGGTGGGTCTGTGATCCAAGGCACTGCCGGAAAGTTCAGACTTCCATCCTGCAGGTGCAGCCCAGTCAATATAAAATAATAAATATTTTAAAATGGAAATTTTCTGCTACTTCATCAGTTTCCTAAAGGATGTTATTTGAGCAATGCGGTTCAGAGAGCAAGCACAAATTAAGCTCAGCACTCAGTAGGTTGAGGCAGGAGAATGGAGAGTTTAGGGTCAGTTAACTTTATACAGATTGCTATTAGTTTTGAGATAGGAGATAGAGATGGAGAGGGAGAGGGAGAGGGATAAGGAGACGGAGGGGGGGAGAGAGAGAGAGAGAGAGAGAGAGAGAGAGAGAGAGAGAGAGAGAGAATTGGTGTTGAAGAAAAGTGGCAATATCATCATATCACCCTCTGAGAGGAAAGAAGCTACTGGAAGCTGTCTTGCAGCAGGGTTTGTGAAGTGAAGGGCATGGGTCCCAGCAAGCAGTGCTTTTAGGGATGAACAGTATTCAGAAGGAGACAACAAAGGGAAGGTAGAGTCACCTATGTCCACTTCACTTCTTCATTTGTATCTCTCATTACCTGTCTATGCAAGCCAGAGAATGACTTACAGAGGTACCCATCTGAGACCTGGATGCCATTTTATTAACTTCTGACCCAACATATTAGCTTGTAAGATAGAAAAACTAAAGCATAAATAGTTAAGTAGATTTTTCGAGCTCATATACCTGTGTCTTAGTTCTCCACACCTCTGAGATTATATATGTTCCAGACTGGTCTCTGAAAATAAAACACTGTTGTCTGGAAACATTGTGTGTCATTCACTGTTAGACATACAGAAAGGACAAATCCCAGAAATGACTTCCCTATATAAGATTTTAGAATGCGGTACTTGAAAGTCAAGAGATGCTAATTACTCAATAAGTGCCTCTTCTGTATAAGCATATACACCAAGACTCTACGTTCAGGAGACAAACTACAGGAAAATGCAGATTTGACTTGTGTCGCTTTCAACAGACAACTCTGAGGTTATTCTTATTTTAACCTTATGGTATAGAGTAGTGTTAGAATACACATGTCAAAAAAGATGCATTTCATGTGTTAGACTTCTCTGACTGAAAGCTATTTATCTTTTATGAAACTGCTTCACTTAAGAAATAAAGAAGAATGACTTGCATTTGTTGATAAGATGGTGAATTCTGATGATGCGGCATCGTGCCGCTGTGGGCTTATTTTTATCTATCCGACTTTGTGAGTCACATCTTCTACCACCAAGCTGAAGATTAAATGCACAACCTTCATGTTCCTTGAATGATAAAGACTTTGAATATATGGTTATATAAAAATGCAACATCATTTAAAAAGAAAAACAAATGCATTTCACAGTCAGACTAAAAATAGCTCTTGGAAAAGAATGGGCCACATAAATTACCCTCGTTTTATGCATATAACTGTAGTGCTATCGTTGAATCCAAACAGCTCAGCAAGGCCAGTAAATGCCTATGTTTTTCCATTGTTAGGTTGAACATTTGGAGAATTTTGGCTTTTCCAGTCATTCAATATAAAAATGTGGCAAACTGGGCATGTGTCTTGAGTGTTAAAGCCTTGTGATAAGCCCCGTGTGAATCTTTAATATATCTGGAGTATGAAGAGGACAGGAGATAGGACACGGTGTGGGGAACAGCAATTTAAAATTGAGAAAACAAAACAAAACAAAACAAAACAAAAACAACTTTTAGTTTTTCTTGGCTCAGAAATAGATAGTACTGCTCTCACTTTGACCTTTAAACTGTAAACTGGATTAAATATTTTAGTCCATTTCTTGGCAGGAGGCACAAATCTTCTCCAACTAGCTGATAGAAGGGTGACTGAGAGGTATGTGAGCTGATCACAGGGTCACTGCTGCAGGACAATGATGACTTTGGGGTTCTGCAGTCCCAGGGAGACAATCAGAGATATTCAAAATTCACTTCCAGGTTATGTCATCATTGAACAGAATAAACTCATTGGCTCTTTCACTTGGGAATGTAGAAAAAGTATGAGACAAAAGGGGGAGGTGGGCTGTGACCCAGCTCACAGAAGAACAGAAAATGCAGGATCTGTTTATTTGTGCTTATAAGGATTCCTGTAGTTATGAGGGGATTTTTAAAATTTATTTATTTTTACTTATCCACTTTACATCCCTCTTACTGCCCACCTCCCCATCACCCCTCCCACAATTTCTCCCCTCCCCCTCCCTTCTCCTCTGAGTGGGTACTCGCTCCCTGTCTGCCCCCTCCCTGTATCCCACCAGACTTAAAGTCTCTGTGATGTGCTTCCACTTCCATGAGGCCAGACGAGGCAGCTCAGCCAGAAGAAACATATTCCACTTATAGGCAACAGCTTTTGGGATACTCCCCCTTCCAGTTGTTCAGGACTCACAAGAAAACCAAGCTGCACATCTGCTACATATGTGTGCGAGGCCCAGGTCCAGGCTATGCATGTTCTTTAGTTGGTAGTTCAGACTCTGAGAGCCCTAAAGGTCCAGGTTAGTTGACTCTGTTGGTCTTCCTGTGGAGTTCCTATTCCTTTCAGGGCCATAATCCTTCCTCCTATTCTTCCTTTAAAATTAGTCTCTGCTGCATTGGGAGGAAATGTTCCCCGCAACTTGGAGAGAATGGTGTGTGTGTGTGTGTGTGCGTGTGTGTCTGTGTGTGTGTCTGTGTGTGTGTGTGTGCGTGTGTGTGTGTGTGTGTGTGCTTTCCTAGAGGTGCTCTACAAATAAACATTTAAAGCCCCGTTATCTTACTCAGCAATGTTTCCTTAGAATAAAACAGTTCTCTGCTGTTTATAGTCTACAGTTTGTTTCTTCTACAGTTTCTTTCTGTACTTTTGGAATTACACTGATATGTCTTAAAATGTGTCTACCAAAATATGTATGACAGTTC